GGACTTGGTTCTATGGTAGGTCTTAAAGGGTTAAGAGCATCTGCACGTCTGACACAAACAGAGGAGTCACACTGTGCCTTTCTCAGTTTAGGCTTATCGTCCAAACTGGAAGTCAAACAGCTGCTCTGGGCAGCAGGTCGACGTGCTGCAGCTGTGGAAAACTGACGAGTGAACAACAGCAACACAGCGATTACTGAAAATCATTCTGGAGGAAGTCAAAGCTGCGACCTGATGTCAGTACAGGTCACACTCTGAACACTTCCCATAATGCCGTTCAGCGGCTTGTTTTGCGACACCCACAGGCACCTCCTCGTGGTGTGCTTCGACACTATTAGTGTGCCGGCTCACCTGCAAGGTGCAGTTCATCATGCGCACGATGTAGTCAAACTGCTGGTCATCCAGGACCGCTCGGTTCTGCAGGACGTGTTGATTGAGCTCCTGAGTCAAACACACGCGAGCTGCCCGACCCTTCAACGCCCGCAGCACCGCTGGCATCAGCTGCACAGACGACGTGACAAACGACCACGATCAACACACAGAAACAGCTGAACACAGGTTTGTGCGTCACAGACACACACGTCTTTACCTTCTTGGCCTCCAGCATCTTGTTCTCAAAAATGTACGTGATGCAGTTCCTGACCACCTCCAGCCTGCGAGCGCTGTTAGCCATCACGTTGCCGTTCCTGTCCACGACATCTCCTGTGGAGCAAAGGGCGTCAGACACCACAGCACAGAAGCCACGCCTCCTACGCAGACACTGTCAGACTGCATGAGGTTAACACAGGAAGTTTAACTGGCCAGCTCAGAGCGGGTGTTTGCCACCTTCAGTTAACCTCACGTTACAGTCTCACCACACTGAGGCTTTATGAGTTTGCAGTCGGGTCACGTGCATGCTAACAGCTCACCCAGCGGCGGCCCAGATGGCACCATGCTCTTGAGCTCCGGCTTGACGGCGGGAGGTGCGGTCTTGAGCTTGGCAGCGGCGTGATCGATGAACAGCTGCACCGCTACGTCGTCCAGCAAGGGGAAAGGCGCCCGATTCTGTGCGTTGTTGTGACCGTTTTCTGACGGTCGCTGGATTTTGTGCATGGCCACAGCGGGGTAGGGATTCTCCTGAGAGAGAAGAGAGACGGCGAACGTTGAAGGAAGAACGGAGGAAACAACTGTGACAAACAGAAACCGTAACAAAGTTCAATCGATGAAACGCACGTTTTTGAAGAGCTGCTCTGCAACCTCCTTGGCGTGGTTCATGACTTTGTGCGGACAGGCCTCCTCTTGTCGTATCCGCTCCACCTGGTTTGCTACCAGCTGTAGGAAGAGGACAGCAGTGATGTTAGCAGCTTTCTAGACTAGAAAGAGAGCAGATTTCTCCTGTTTTGGCTTCCTGTTAAATCCAGAATTCAAAATCCTGCTCCTCACATACAAGGTCTTAAATAATCAGGCCCCATCTTATCTTAATGACCTTGTAGTACCATATCACCCTATTAGAGCACTTCGCTCTTGCTCTGCAGGCCTACTTGTTGTTCCTAGAGTATTTAAAAGTAGAATGGGAGGCAGAACCTTCAGTTTTCAGGCCCCTCTTCTGTGGAACCAGCTTCCAGTTTGGATTCAGGAGACAGACACTATCTCTACTTTTAAGATTAGGCTTAAAACTTTCCTTTTTGCTAAAGCATATAGTTAGGGCTGGACCAGGTGACCCTGAATCCTCCCTTAGTTATGCTGCAATAGATGTAGGCTGCCGGGGGATTTCCCATGATGCACTGGGAGTTTCTTCTTCACTCACTATGTATTAACAGACCTCTCTGCATTGAATCATATCTGTTATTAATCTCTGTCTCTCTTCCACAGCATGTCTTTATCCTGTCTTCCTTCTCTCACCCCAACCAATCACAGCAGATGGCCCCGCCCCTCCCTGAGCCTGGTTCTGCTGGAGGTTTCTTCCTGTTAAAAGGGAGTTTTTCCTTCCCACTGTCGCCAAAGTGCTGCTCATAGGGGGTCATATGATTGTTGGGTTTTTCTCTGTATCTATGAAGCGCCTTGAGGCGACTTTTGTTGTGATTTGGCGCTATATAAATAAAATTGAATTGAATTGAAATTGAATTTCTTCCATATCTGAGCCACACGGTGCTCAGTGACCAACGATCGTGTTATCGATGCGTTACACCAGGTTGGTGTTTTCAGTTACGTCAATAAAGGTTTGTGTGTTCATGGTAAATGCACTGATCCTTATACAGCGCGTCTCTACTCAAAGCGCTCTATACAACATTCACACCCACTCATACAAGCACTTCCTTCTATACTTAAGTGCAATCTAAGCATTCACACATCCACACTCCGCTGGACGCATCAGAGGGCGTGTCGTTTGAAGCTCTGCAAGATCCTGAAATTTAAGAGTGTAATAACGGACTGAAACAGAAGGTGGCAGCACTGCATGTACAAGCTGCTAGAAGAAGAAGAAGCAGCAGCCTCCTGTATCGTAGCTGTGTCCAAATTCAGGGGTTGCATTTGTAGGCCGATTACATTACAGCGACGGATGAAGGCTGTCCAAATTTGAAGACTCCTCCGACTGCGAACGACAGATAGGTCCTCCTTTTCCCCAGATTTGAAGGATGGGGCGGTGCATCCTTCGTGGCCCACCATGTCCCAGAATTTTGTCTGAGCACCCGTCAGTAAACATGTTTAACACCAACATTGTTATTGGGGGAAATCATTCAAATCAGCTGCCTGCACACAGGTGAATCCTGGCAGCCACATGCTGCACGGCCTCCTGGCTGATTCCTTTTTCCTAGAGACTCGAACATGTGCTGACATGTCAGCTTAACACGTTTTTCCACTCGTAGCTGTCATGAACCACTGTGCTCTGTGATCGCACAAACAGGAGCGAACGGGTAGATTTTTGCGTTGAAAGACTTACGTCATCAAACAGGTCGGTGGCTCTGTAGGGGGGACCTCTCTCCGACACAAAGCCGGCGAACGCCATGCCGTCTAACACCTTGGTGAGGAAGTCGTCCTCTGACAACGCCCTCTGGCCCAGGAAGGCAGCCTGTGGAAAACGTTAGCACCAATCCCATCAAGACTATTTGTTTCCTTGGATGCACATTTACAGCGGCGTGCTGTGCCAGGACATTCCTGTACCTTATGGAAGCGAATCACAGGCTCTGGGTGAATGCGGATGATATGTAAACACCAGCGATAGCCCTGGAAGAGCCGAGCGAACAGCCACAGAAAGACCGCTCGGATCTCCTTGTCCTGAAACGCACACAGTAAAGACGACCACCACCTCTTTATGCCATCGACAAAAACACTAATGCTGGTGTTGTGTAATTACAGCGTATAAATCAAACATTTATATCACTACATGAGTTTACTCCTTGCCTGGATTTTGAGAGCAGAGGGTGTCGTGGACTGTGGGGGGAATGCATGATCGGCAACTTCCAGCTCCGGATCCAAAACCTGCAGGAACAGAAAACAAAGTCCATCACTGCTGACCACAAGCTGCTGATTCCTGCTGATACGGACAACAGCACAAACTCACAGAGTGATGGAGCTCTGAGCTTGTTCACTAGACTACATGGTTAACCCTTTAAGACCTACCATAGAACCAAG